TCTGTATTACAACTTCACTGTACTTTCTATGTCTGAGTCTCACAAAACCCTGACTACCTCTCTAAGCGTCTGGCTTAAACACTCAATGTTCAGCACTGTATGCTTTCACCTGCTGTACTTTTAAATTTAAAGTAAACTACTACATCCTCCGTCTTCTACCGTCCGCTCCGTCTGCCTTGTCTATCACGTGGTTAGCTGGATGAGAGTCCTCTCCACCACTGGGGCTGGAGCTGGAATGGAGCTTAAAGTCACTGGGAAAAGGGAATTAAACTACTGCAACCTGAGAACCACTTTCTGCTCTGCACCTGACCCTTCCCATCATCCAGAAGCCTGAGAAATGGGGTCACTTCATACAACTCAAAGAACGCAGGCCGCAGCTAGGGCCTATTCATTCAAGCCCAGACAGAACACACATCGGTGTCCACTACTCTGTGACTTAATAAGGTGACACCACAAGTGGAATGCTGGCATCTGTTGCATTTAGTGTAGCAAATATACAATATTGCAATCCTATTACAAGGAAATCAATCACGACCTGACCAAGAAAATCAAGCATTGTTTAGTATTATTATTTTTGGGGGAAAGCAAGTCCTAAAACATCCAATTTATAAACTTTCAGAACACAACTCATTCACTGAGCTGAGGTCCAGCTATCTCTTTTATAAGATTTTGTATTTTGTCTCACAAGGCATTCTCAAATAAATACACAAACTCACTTAGACAGAGCTTCACAACCCATCAGTACTAAGTATTACTATGCTAAACTGTGAGAAAACAGACAAGGTAAAAGGGAGAAAGAAAATGGTTTGTTTAAGACCACATAGGAAGCCCATCTCTCTCCACACTTTCCTCTCTATCACAGTCCTTGCTCTTCACAGGGATGTTTCAAAGAGACCCTTCATTCCTCACACTCAGGATCCTGTTGTGTTCCACTTACTGGCTGGTACATACCATCTGGCTTTGCACTGCTTTGCTGATTTCCTATGCAGCAATGAGGCAATCCTAGACCACTGGTTTTTCCCATATTTCATTACCGCTGCTTTCAAAATTTCATCCTAAAAGAGTTGCCAAAGAGAGTACATTCAGTCACAAGCCTCCAAATGAGAAAAGACAAAATTTAAATTAACTCTTACAGATTTCCTATAAAGATATACACAATCATTTAGAAAAAGGGGGTGTGAAAACTTCATTAACAGTTAATGATAAATAGCCTAAAAGAATCAGAAGGAGGTGACTGGAGAGCTAGCTCAGTGGTTAAGAGCATGCACTTCTTTGCAGGAGACCTGACGTCAGGCAGCTTACCAGCTCCAGCTCCGAGGACCCAAAGCCTTGAGCTCCTGAAGGCAGCTGTATTCATGTGAACATGCCCATACACAGACACACACTTCTTTTTTTAAAGATTTATTTACTTATTATGTATACAACATTCCTTTCATGTGTGCCTGCAGGCCAGAAGTGGGCACCAGATCTCATTATAGATGGCTGTGAGCCACCATGTGGTTGCTGGGAATTGAACTCAGGACCTCTGGAAGAGCTCTTAACCACTGAGCCATCTCTCCAGCCTGACACACACTTTTTTTATTATTTTTTATTTTTATTTTTTTTCACACACTTCTTTTAAAAAATAAAAATAATCTTTTGTGGAGGCCTGAAAATGTGAGCCTATTTCCACCTGAACCAAAAGGTACTCTTTTAGGGTCAGGTTATTTAAAGCAATTGGAAATTAAACACGGGCAAATTTCAGTACTTACTGGAATTCCTTCCCGATACTATCCTATATGATTCTCCGTTTTATGATGTTCATTCGCATCTTTATATTCTTTACTATATTTCTAAATCCCCAATGATCTACCCTGGCAAAAGGTATTTTTGTTGAGACTGTTGGTCCCCAACAATCTTTGTTTTGTCTTTTTTTTTTTTTTTTTGGTTTTTCGAGACAGGGTTTCTCTGTGGCTTTGGAGCCTGTCCTGGAACTAGCTCTGTAGACCAGGCTAGTCTCGAACTCACAGATATCCGCCTGCCTCTGCCTCCCGAGTGCTGGGATTAAAGGCGTGCGCCACCATCGCCCGGCTCAATCTTTGTTTTTTAAGAAGAAAAAAAAAATCCTTTGAAGGACATTTTACTTGCCCTCTCAATAAACTGGAAGTAGAAAAAGTCAGTGCTGAAAACACTACTTTATGACAGACTCACGGAGATTACCTCTCAGTGTGCACCTGTCATTCTCCTCACAAAGGTAAAGTTCGCATATATATATATATTTACTCAAAAAAAATAAAAAAGTTTTCTGAATATCTACCTTGAACCAGGTTTTGAGTACTCCGGGAAAGAGAGCCAAAGATGTCCTATCCAGGCCTCAAGAAGCAACCTAGACTGTAATTCAACATGACATTCCTCTCCAGCACCCTACTTACCACAACAGCCCAGGAATGCACGGCTTCCTCTATCTCAGTCAGTTCTCCCTGCGTACTCCAATCTCCAAATGCTCTTTCACCAGGGTACCCAAAACACATCCCAAACCAGGTCAACCTGCCAGGCGAACTCAGACACCAGAGCTCACAGTCATAATGAATGCAGCTGAGCACTTTAGTGTAGGGTTTTTCCACAAGGAAATTGAACTGCAAGCCTTGTCCTTGAGCCTCTCCACTCCATCTTTCATTGCTAGTTGGGAGAAGGCTCACCTGGTATGCATGAAGTCCTGGGTTTGAGTCCCAAGAGACTATGCATGGTACACACTTGTAATCGTAGCACTGGAGGTAGAGGCGGGAGGATCATCTACATACCAAGTTCAAAGCCACTCTGGGCTCCCTGAGACCATAGCTCCAAAACACACACACCTGAAAGGTTTTGACCAACACAGAGGAATCCTGCTGCTACTTGACTTTGTGATTCTGCTTCTGCCTCAGAAGTCATCTCTTCTTTAATTTAAATAGACTCAATGCAAGCAGGTCCCTTCTCAGTGCCTTCATTTGTGACTTTAATGAAGTTTTTCTATACTTCAACCAACGTGTATACACAGGAGGTACCTATCCCACAAGACTGATTCCCAAACATCACCAAGCAACCTTCTTCATACTAATTCTATAATACCAAAGTCTGGTCCTCTTGCAGTGATGTCTGATGAGGAAACAACAACCCGTTTTTACTGAAAGTCTATTAATGGGCCAAGCAGTGTTCTCAATATTTCAAACTACTAACTCCCTGCAAGAGGTAAGCAGTGTTTTTGACTTAGTTTTTAAAAAAATGAGTAAACTGGGGCCAGGCAGTGGTGGCGCACGCCTTTAATCCCAGCACTCAGGAGGCAGAAGCAGATGGATCTCTGTTTGAGGCCAGCCTGGTCTACAAGAGCTAGTTTCAGGACAGTGAGGGCTGTTAACACAGAGAAACCCTGTCTTAAAGAAAAAAAAAATTGAGTAAACTGAGACTTAGAGAAGCTAAACTCCCCTAAAGTGCTTGCAAAAACAAAATAAGCTGTAGCAAATGAAAATGGGTGCCTGGAACTAGCTCTTGTAGACCAGGCTGGCCTCGAACTCACAAAGATTTGCCTGCCCCTGCCTCCCAAGTGCTGGGATTAAAGGTGTGTGCTCAGGGACATCTAACTCTTTTTTTTTTAATATGTATTTATTTATTTATTTATTTATTTATTATGTACACAATATTCTGTCTGTGTATGTCTGCAGGCCAGAAGAGAGCACCAGACCTCATTACAGGTGGTTGTGAGCCAGCATGTGGTTGCTGGGAATTGAACTCAGGACCTTTGGAAGAGCAGGCTGAGCCTCTTAACCACTGAGCCATCTCTCCAGCCCAACATCTAACTCTTAACAGGACAAAGACTCAAAAGAAGTGTTCTGAGCTAAGTCTGGAGGATGGTCAGAAAGATGGCAAGCAATAAGGAAGATATCTCAATAAGGCACAGACATAGGGTATTCATACGTTCAGTGCATTTGATTAAATGCACAAAAAGTTAATTTCTATTTTACTCCCTTTCTTCTCCCGTTCCGCTCACCCGTGGCATGATCTACTACATTTCTGGTAGCAAATACGTAGTTTGTCCTAACTGGCTCCTATCCCGGCAAGGGCGGTGCAAGGTAAGAGACAAGACCCTGGGATCTGCAGAACGGACAGATACGCCCCTGTATCAGAGAAGCAGAGAGGTGCAGGCGAAAACGCGCCACCTGCCCCACTGTGAGGAAGTCAATGAAAAACAAAAGTTACAGCCAAAGCGACTTCTATCAGAGCGAAGCACTGGGTAAGAGCCAAGAAAGAACGGAGCTGGAGAAAAACTACGCTTCCGCAAAGTACAGTCTAGGCAGCCACAGTGTCACAGGGGAGAGTAAGGGGGCGCGTCCCTAACTGAACAAATAAGTGTCCAAGGGCCTAGCAGATGCCAGGCGGCGAGCGCGGAGCGACAAGTCGCGACCTCGCTCCCCCCCCCCCCGAGGTGAGCAGGTGAGGCGCGGCCGCACCCACGCAGGGCAAGGATCCCCGGGGGCCCGCACAGTAGCGGCGCCCCACGGAGACCCCGCGGGACAGCCACGGCGCCCCGCGCGTGCGCACAAGCTACCGGACCCGGCTGAGGGCAGCGGACGGCGGGAAAAGCTGCCTTACCTCGGTATTCCTCCAGACGCCTCCTTTGATCATAATCCGAGGCATCTTGGCGGCGGAGTGTCCCGGCAAGCGGCCGAGAGGAGCTTCGAGAAAGTAGTAACGGCGCTCCGGTTACGGGACGCAAAGAGGCCACTTCCTCCAAGAGCGACCTTCGGCTTTGAAGAGGTCTGCGCAGGCGCGGCTCGGGGCAGCCCGGTAAATCTCGCGAGATCTCAATGGCCGAAGGGAAAAGACGCGGTTTGTTTGGAACCTTAAGACTGACAGAAAATCATCAAACCGCTGGGGCCAAAGCGCCCGACGTCGCGCGCAGGTCCAAGACAGGTTGGAGGAAAACAAAACTCTCGCGAGATGACAGAGGTGGAACTTGGCTGGGAGCGCAGGGACGGGATTGATCCTGGCGTCACGCGGGGGCGGGCAGAGGGAATGTCAGGGGCGTGGCGTTCCCACCCCGGGCGGACCCGAAGACAGCGTGGTTAAGTTGTTGAACGGAGCTCGGGCCGTGCGGGGCGTCTCGGAGATCCTCACGGGTCCTTCGCGGGATCCTCGGGGAATCGCAGCCAGCAGGGCCGAGCGCTGGGTGCGGGACCCCTTGCTTCCGTGAGATCGTCCATCTGAGCGACGTGACTGCTCCCCCAAGACGTCCCTCGCCCTTCCAGGGCCACGCAAACTTCAGCGCAGCCCCCGAGGGGCTCAGAAAATGGTTTAGAACCCCACGGAATTGTCACGCCGGCGTCTTTCACTCGTCGCTCGTCGTTGGGGCTCGGTCATTTGCCAGACTCTTGCCTCTGCAGTCTGGGTCGGCGGCGACTGAAGAGTGGGACGTAGGACTCGCTTGTTCGTAAATTCAGAGCCCGGCTGCGAGTCAGCAAAACCTCGGTAAGGTGTACATTGTCAAACCCTCTGCCGTCTCTTCTCCCTGTTCCCCACACAGACTTCCTCACTATTCCAGAGCAGTTATTTGACTCCACCCCAGGTCGCTAGGGAAAAATAGTAGTTTTGGTTTTGGTTGTTGTTTGTGCTTCCGTTTGCCTCTTCGAGAAGACATGACGAATTTCCTGATTCGATTTGTTTTTTTTTCCCTTGAAATGAGAAATTGTATCAATTTAAAAAAGCATTGCTTTCTGGTAATGTATTAGGATACACATGGATTTAGCCAGCTACAGTCCCATTTCACTCAGCTCTGTCAACTGGCAGTATGGCGGGTGGGAAGCTGTTTTCCGCCTCTGGGACTCTCTTTGCAATGCTTCCTTGTAGAGATGTATAACCCTTCGCTCCTGCCCACCGTGCCAGCAACACATCTCTCAGTTATTATCACACCCAAAGGCATGCATGCATGCGCATATGCACACCAGTTGGCTGACCAGATCAAACCAGAGCTAAAGACACCTCCCTGGGAATTTTTACTGCAGGATCCAAAAGAGGTCAGTGTGCCTGCTGGCCTATGAATCTCTAACCTCCCATTAGAGATTGTGGACTGCATGTGTTTTGAACTATAGAGACAACGATGGAAAGAAAGGGCATCACAGATAAAGTGAAAAACAATCAAAACACAAACTCTAAAAACTTAGAAGTAGGTTCTGGCCTCAGCGTGGTCCCCTGGATCGAGATCATTCTCAAGTCGTAGCTGCTTCCACCATCCCTTTTTGGATTCAGCCACTGGATTTAGGTATCCAATATTTGCAAGCAAGATACCTTAATAAATCCACAGTTGGGTCAGTCCTCTCCCAGAGCACTGGAGTAGAATATTCCAGAGGTCCATGGTGATGGCTTCTTTCACTCAGGACCACCTCCATATCATGGGTCATCTTTCTGACAACTTGAAAAAGATGCCTCTCCCATAAGACATGTTAATGTCACCTGCTAGTCAGTTATCTCAGAGGATTGGTGTTTTGAGAACAGACACTCTTCTGCAACCAGATCTACCATGTCTGTGGTGAAAATCTGAGTCAGATGCACCAACACTGCCCCTTTTATTGTGTGAACTGAGCCTCCAAATGATATGCTTGCCCCTTCTGAGCACAGCAGCCCTGTCAGCTGTCTTTGAACACCTGTGAACACGTAGACTTTGTGCCCCTTCAGGATTCCATAGATGGAAAGTCTGGAACCCCTGAGATCAGAGCCCCACATCCAGAAACACCACACATAAATCTGCTATCCTCACAGTACCACTCCAGCCTCATCAGTCAGAATGAGACCCCAAAAAAGGGTTCCTCCAGCGCAGGGACTGTCACCATCAAGTAGCCAGACTGTTATCACTGTGAACCTTCAGCAAAGCAAGCTTTAGTTCACTTCTAAAGAGAACAGCGCCACGTCTTATCCAACATACTTTTCCTCAAATGTCCTCAGAAAATCAGTCACATGGAAAACTCCATAAATATGTTTCAGGATTTCACTTAAAAAAAAAAAAAACAGCATTCCCCATCCTCCACTTTACCAAAATTAAAGCCAATAACAAAAGCTGTTGTTAGCATGTACATTTCATTTGGAAATACTGTAGAGTCTTCACACATGTGATCAAGTTAAGATGAGATCATACTGGTGTGGACCTAACTCTAGCCAGTGATCAGAGTCCTCACCAGAAAAGGCCTGTGCATGTCCAATTCTTACCCCATTCACCAAACTTCCTCTTACTACATTGTGATTTTAAGGTTTTTTAAGTGGCATGGAGGAATCTGCTCTAAAACAATTTACTTATGCCAGGCAGTGGTGGTACACACAATCCCAGCACTCAGGATGTAGAGGCAGGTGGATCTCTGTGAGTTTAAGGCCAGCTTGGTCTACAGAGCTGGTTCCAGGATAGCTTAAGGCTGTTACACAAAGAAAACCTGTCTCAAAAAAAAAAAAATACAATTTAGTTATGTACCAGAACATGCACATATGAAGTTCATTGGAGTGATTCTTGCAGCTATCATAGCTGCCACAGTTACCATTCCAGCTATTCCAGTGGCCTTAACTCCTAGCCAAACCATAGCAACTGTAAATTTCTATTTTCAGAATGAACACTTTAAGATGGTGTTTAGTAACTGACTGCATCCTTCTGTGATTTTCAGGACTTGATAGCTATTCTTGGTTATCAACTTGACTGTCTGTGGAATGATCTACAATCCAGAAATGGAGGACGCACCTATGAGAGATTTTCTGCTTGGTTTGAAATGAATGAATCTACTTCTAGTCCAGGCCTTTGAGGTAGGAAGAAACTCTCCTTTGATCTGGATCTTGAGGCTGGAAGACACAGGCCTTTAATTCAGATCTTGAGGTGGGAAGGCACACCTTTAATCTGGGCCACACCTTCTGCTGGAAGTCTATATAAGGACATAAAGGAAGGCAGCTTTTGCTGTTTGCCTGCTTCCCCTCGCCTAGCCCATCCATTCTCTCACTGGCATTGGAGCATACTTCTTTGGGATTCCAGCGAATGCAAAGACCAGCTGAGACACCAGCCTTGTAGGACTGAGCAGCTACTGAATTTGGACTGTCTGTTCACAGCTCGTCGTTGTGGGAGTAGCTGGACTGTAGCCTGTAAGTCATTCAGAGAGAGAGAGGTTCGTTCTATAAGTTCTGTGACGCTAGAGAACTCTGACTAGTACAGATTTTAGTGCCAGCAGTGGTTCTAGAGAAAGAGAAGTATAAAGATGAATCTTTTAAGTATCTGGAATAGGCTTTTCAATTCACCAGCACCTTCAACTACAGCCACTCCCTCTCCTGGGATCTTGGAGAATGCTGAAAGCCCGTGGTGCGAACTATATTACAAACTTAAAGAGATAGAAGCATTTGATTATCCTGATTCACCAATTGTAAGCGACAGTGGATTTGACAACCTTGTATATGCAACTTTTGACAGTTTGGGGGAAAATAAGGAAAATAATGCTGCTGGTTGGTTTCTCTTACTATCTCTGGATAAACTGATAAAGGATAGGAATGAGCTCCGTGATAAAATTAACCAACTTCAGAAAATGAAGAAGGAGAACAAAGAACTTAGTGACAAAAATGACCAGCTCCAGATGCGAATAAATAGTCTAAAGGTTTCTAAGTGTGCCCTGGAGGAGAATTTTCTTGCCAGCAGCCACAGAACTCGAGTTGTGGAAAATCAAACTGAAGCCCTCATTATAAGGTTGGCTGAACTACAGCAAAAACCCACATCTCAGCCTCAGAGGGTGTCAGCCGTGAAAGTAAGGGCATTAGTTGGTAAAGAATGGGATCCTGTAACTTGGGATGGGGATGTGTGGGAGGACCCTATTAAAGCTGAGAACTTTGAACCCTCAGATTCTCAAGGGCTTATCTCACCTCAGGAAATAGTACCCTCGGCCCCACCCCTTGAAATACTGCCTTCTTCACCTTTCACTGAGGGTATTAATCCGTCATTGACGGCTAAACCAGCAGTGACTTTCTCTGAAGAAGATGCCAATCAAGGCAATACTGATGTCCTTGAGAGCCCACCAATAGCTCCTTCTAGATGTATAACTGGACCTAAAGCAAAGCAGGCTTCTAGAGGGGAGGTAGAAAGTGTAGTCCGTGAGGAGGTGCACTACACTACTAAGGAGCTTAACGTGTTTGCTCATTCATTTAAGCAGAAGTCTGGGGAATATGTGTGGGAATGGGTTTTAAGGGTGTGGGATAATGGTGGAAGGAACATAAAACTAGATCAGGCTGAGTTTATTGACATGGGCCCTCTGAGTAAAGATTGTAGGTTTAATATGGAAGCTCGCACAGTTAAAAAGGGGGTCAAAAGTTTGTTTGAATGGTTGGTTGAAGCATTTATCAAAAGATGGCCTACTGAAAAGGAGTTGGAAATGCCTGATCTCCCCTGGCTTAGTGTTGATGAAGGGATTTTAAGGCTCAGGGAAATTGCAATGCTAGAGTGGGTGTATTGTGTAAAATCTGAACCTTCTCAATGGGAGGGTCCAGAAGACATGCCCTTCACTAGTCCTATAAGGCGCAAAATGGTGAGAGGGGCACCAGCACATTTGAAAAGCTTTGTGGTTGCCCTATTCCTCGTGCCAAACCTTAGGATTGGAGATGCTGCTGCTCAGTTGGATGAATTAAATGCAATGGGTTTAATTGGGCCCCAAGGTAGCAGGGACCAGGTTGCAGCACTGAATTGCCCAAGGCACGATGATCATAATTATCATATCGGCAGCATAGAAAAAACAATGTTCATAATGGCCTAACCAGTAATGGTCAGCACAGACAAAATGAATTTTATTTTGGCATGATTTGTATGGACCTTTGGTACTGACTAATCAATCATGGTGTTACCAGGCATGACATCAATAAGAAGCCTACTGCATTTCTCTTTGATCTGTATAAGCAGAAAAATTCTCAAACAAATGAAAGAAAGGCTATACTGGACCTTGACAAAATACATTCTTGGCCAGTGAATCAATTTCCAGACTTGAGTCAGTTTTCAGACTGAGAACCTCTGAAATAAAGGGATGGCCAGGTTCCCCTAAGGAAAGAGTCTGAAAAGATAGCTAAAAGCTTTACAGTTAGTCTTTCTCCAGGCTTCCCTGCAATGGACCTACGGCCTTTTACAAGGGCAACTGTACACTGAGGGAAAGGAAACAATCAGACTTTCCAGAGTCTATTCGATGCTGGTCCTGAATTGACATTGATTCCAGGAGATCCCAAGAAACACTAGCCCTCCAATTAAAGGAGGGTTAATAGAGGCTCTATTAACCCATAATGGATTAATAGAGGCCAGGTGATTAATGGAATTTTGGCTGAAGTCCAACTCACAGTAGGTCCCCAAACTCATCTTCTAGTTATTTCCCCAGTACCAGAACGTGTAATTGGGATAGATATACTTAGAAGTTGGTACAAATGTCACATTGGTTTCCTGACCTATGGCGTGGGGGCTAATATCATTAGAAAGACTAAATGGAAGCCTTTAGAATTCCAGAGGCAATTGCCAAAGAAAATAGTGAATCAGAAACAATAACACATCCCTGGAGGAACTGCAGAAACCTAGTGCCACCATCAAGGATGTGAAAGATACAGGGGTGGTAGTTCCCACACATCTCCATTTAGCCCTCCTATCTGACCAGTGTGGAAGACAGGTATGAGTTATCATGTAAGTGCTCACCAAAAGGTGACTTCAGCTGAGGAGGAATTCAGTAATCAAGTAGTAAGACCCATTCTCTGGACAGTTAGCCTCTTTCCCCAGCCATTCCTGCCATTGCCCAGTGGGCCAATGAACCAAGCCATGAAGGCAGAGATGGGAGTTGTGCATGGGCTCAACATGGACTTCCATGCACCAAGGCTGACCTGGCTACAGCTGCTTCTGATTGCCAGATATGCCAATAACAGAGACCAACACTGAGCTCCAGATATGGCACCATTCCCCAAGTTGACCAGCCAGCCCCCTGGTGATAGGTTGACTACGTTGGACCACTTCCTCTGTGGAAAGGAACGCTTTGCCCTCACTGGAGTAGATACTTATTCTGGTTATGACTTTGCCTTTCCTGCACATAATGCTTCTGCCAAAATACCGTCTGTGGACTTAGAGAATGCCTGATCCACCGACATGGTAGTCCACACAGTATTGCTTCACCAGGGAACTCACTTCGCAGCCAGAGAAATGCAACGGTGGGCCCACAATCATCAGAAATCCACTGTTCCTAGCATGTTCCCCACCATCCTGAAACAACCAGCCTGATGATGGACTGGCCTTTTGAAAACACAGTTACAGTGCCAATTAGGTGGCAGCAGCCTGGAGGACTGGGGCAGGGTTCTCCAAAAGGCCATACATGCTTTGAATCAACATCTAATATATGGTACAGTTTCTCCCATTAGCGAGGGTCCATGGATCTAGGGATCAAGAGGTAGAAAAGGGAATAATTCCACTTATTATCACCCCTAGTGACCCACTAGGAAAAAATTTGTTTCCTGTTCCTGTGATCCTAAGTTCTGCTGACCTACAAGTTTTGGTTACAGACATTCCATTGTATTGGAAGCTCAGCTTCCCTCTGGTCACTGTGCTTCTAATGCCCTTAAACCAACAGGCTAAGAAAGGGGTAACAGTTTTAGGAGGGTGATTGATCCAGATTACCAAAGGGAAATTGGATTGCCTCTCTACAATGGAAGTAAGAAGGATTCTGTCTGAAGTACAGGAGATCCATTAGAGCATCTTTTGGTGCCACCATGTCCTGTGATTAAAGTCAATGGGAAATTTACAACAGCCTAATCCAGGCAGGATGACAAGGGATACAGACACCTCAGGAATGAAGATATGGGTCTCTCCTCCAGAAAAAGAACCAAGACTTGCTAATGTGCTTGCCAAGGGTGGAGGAAATACAGAATGGGTAGGAGAGGAAGGTAGTTATAAATACCAGCCAAGGCCACGTGACCAGTTGCAAAAAATGAGGATTATAGTTGACATGAGTATTTCTGCTGTATTTTGTTAACACATGTACAGATATTTGTGTTTTCTTTCAATTCCTTATATGTTGTAACATCAATTAAAAGAATACTAATAGGATGTCCCCCGAGGGACCTTGCCACATATTTTAAATTTATAATGTGTTTGTATTATATGAGGGATAGTTATATCATGTTAGGTGTAATTATGACCTGGTTAAATATATAATAAATGTGTTTGTGATTGTACATGAGATAGTTATAATGGTTAGGCATATTATGACCTGGTTGTTTTCATTTGGAAATTAATCATGACCTAAGACGATATGATTGTGTGTCAAGTTAACAAGAGATGGACTTGTAATGGCTATTCTAGGTTGTCAGCTTGACTATATATGGAATGAACTACAATCTTGAAGTGGAAGGCACACCTGTAAGAGATTTTGTGCTTAGTTTGAAGTAGATGAGTACACTTCGCATCCAAACCTTTGAGGTAGGAATTCCACCTCTGTTCTGGACCTTGAGGTGGGAAGGCACACCTTTAATCTGGGCCACACCTTCTTCTGGAAGTCTATATAAGGACATAAAGGAAGGCAGCTTTTGCTATTTGCCTGCTTCCCCTCGCCTAGCCCATCCGTTCTCTCACTGGCATTGGAGCATACTTCTTTGGGATTCCAGCGAATGCAAAGACCAGCTGAGACACCAGCCTTGTAGGACTGAGCAGCTACTGAATTTGGACTGTGTGTTCACAGCTCTTCGTTGTTGGAGTAGCTGGGCTGCAGCCTGTAAGTCATTCTAATAAACCCCCTTTCTATAGAGATTCATTCCATGAGCTCTCTGACGCTTGAGAACCGTGACTATGAATACACAAGGACTAAGTCTCAAAGTGTGATCTTTTACAGAGGTAGCCATTCTGATTGTCTTCCTTCTCAAAGTCTTATCATGCCTTTGCTAACGTTTCAAAAGGAATCGTGAAGGAAATGGTGCAGATTTCAGGCTGGCCCTACAACACACCATGCCTTGACCTACCAGTAACCATCTAAATCAACATGCTTTTTCTTTAATAAAATAAAAAGGAGGAACTGTGGCAATGCATTGATAAAATCGCTTTTCTAGTCTAAGAGAATGGAGCTTTTGCTGGACCGCACAGCCAGAGTTAGCAATACCCCTTGAGGTCACTTGAGACTGCTGTCCTACTGTGTGCTCAGCCTATTTGTCTACTCTGCCTTTAAGAGAACAATATAAGAGCCAACTTTACTTACCTTGAATCTCCCATGTAATCAACTTTTTTTGTTGTTGTTTGGTTTGGTTTCAGGTTGGCGGGGGAGGGGGTATTGTTTTTGAGACTGGGTTTTTATGTAGTCCTGACTGTCCTGGAACTTGCTATGTAGACCACACTGGCCTCCAGTTCACAGAGATCCTCCTGCCTCTGCCTCCCAAATACTGGGATTAAAGTGTGTACTACCATGTCCAGCCCATATGATCAACTTTTACAGATTAAGCTAATACATAGCTGTAATCTTGAGTTATCTACTCTTTCATGCATGTCTGTTTGTACATGTGTTATGATAATCATCTGCTGGGAATAGCTGATAGGCTGAAAGGAATCTTACAAAATGAGCATCTACAAATGTTAAAGGTAAATTCAGATATTGCTTGATAAAAAAGAAAAGGAGGTGGCGTGGGTTACCACATAAACAGTACGTGAAGAATGAGGCAGCAGTGGAGGGTGATGGTTCAGAGACAAAGAGAGCACCTAGTTTTGCCAGCAAACAGTAGAGCAGTGGTTCTCAACCTTCCTGAGGCTGTGGCACTTTAACACTCATGTTGTAGTGACCCCCAAACATAATATTGTTTCTGTTGCTTCTTCATAACTAATTTTGCTGTTATGAATCGTAATGTAAATATCTGTCGTCTATGGTCTTAGGTGACCCCAAAAGGTGGTGACCCACAGGTTGAGAACTGCTGCTCTAGCGTGAGAGTATGAAATGCTCTCTTCCCTGAAGAGCTGGTTCAAGAAGGACCCAACCCAGTGACAGCTTGTTTTCTGACTCTTGCTTTTGAAGTCAGGAGAGAATCCATATCTCTTTTTTCAAGAATTTTTTTTTTTTAGCATATATGGGTGTTTTGCCTGCATGTATGTCTGTGCACATTTCTGCAGTACCCGAGAAGGCCAGATGACAGCTCTGGATCCACTAGAACTGAAGCTGCACACTGTTGTGAGCCACCATGTGGATGCTGGGTCCCGAACCTGGGTCCTCCAGGTTGTAATAGCTGAGCCATTTCTCCAGCCCAGAATCCACTTTTTTTATGCAATGACAACTTAAAGATAATGCACTTTTCTTTTTCCTTTTTAGATTTATACTTTTTTTTGATGCAGATGGGTGATTTTCAGGCATGTTGGATGTCCTGAAACTGAATTACAAATGGTTGTAGTTCACAAACACAGGTCCTCTATAGGAACAGTGTACACTCTTAACTGCTGAGCCATCTCCCTAGCCCCTCTTTGTTTTTTAAAGAAGTTCCAAGTTGCTCTGACATAGAACCCCTTTTCCACATAATACCTATTGACATGCAAGACACATAATTTGGAAGAGTCTGACTCCAGAAAGTAGTGGTCTACCTAACTTACAAAGGGAAGTTTAGGCTACATCATTCTCCATTTTGCCATCATAACCACCTTCTGGAACTGGATCTGACTGAATTGACATTTGCTTACCTGAGGAAAATACTTAAAATATCAATTTCTATCTCACCCGCCTTGTTTTTTTTTTTACTATTTTCATTTGTATTTATTACTGAGGAGTGGTGTTGCAAGCCACAGCATACATGTGGAGGTCAGAAGGGAACTTCCAGGAGTTGGTTCTTCCCTTCCACCATGTCTCCCAGAGATCAAATTCATGTCAGTGCAGTGAGTGCTTTTACTTTTGAATCATATTGTCAGCTCTCACCTATCTTTTAACACCAAGAGACTGCACAGAAAAAGGCTAAAATTAGGGATGAAAGTCAACAGCAACATCAAGGTATAGTTGGGAAGAGTATTAGTTACTACCCCTAGTCCTCATAATCTCCCTCAAATAAATGTACTCAATTTAAGACAAGCTCTCTAGCTCCCCCTCAACCCCCAGATTGGCATTCCTAGACCCCTCTTCTCAATTGTTCATTAGCCATCACTGGGAAAACTGGTATTCTGGTGTCTTTACTACAAAATGAATCATATGCACCCTACCATAGTAATTAATACCATATTGCAAAACATTCTTTAAGATTTATTTATTTATGTGTATGTGTGTGTGAATATGTATGCATCACATGTGAGGATATCCGATGAGGCCAGAAGAAGGTTTGAGAGCCCCTGATGCCAGAGTTACAGGGAGTTGTGAGCCTCCTGACTTGAGTGCTGAGAACTGAACTTGTTTCTCTTGGAATAGCAGCAAGCAACTTTAACCGTGGAGTCATCTCCCCAGTCCCTGCAAAACAGTCTTAGTCACCTAATCTGGCTTGAGTTTCAGCTGCCAGCACTTCTTTTGTGGTGGATCCAATTGTGGTTTTTAATTTTTTTTCTCAGGAATTCATCTTTGTGGGTCTCGTTTCTAGAGAGTTTCCTGTACCCTGATGTGGGGCAGTGTTCCCAGGGAGCATTTGCTTTTCCTCAGGCCCCAGGAATTCGCTGCTCTGTTTGGGACCAGTATCCCAATCTGGTCATTAAAACTAGACCCTGACTCCACATGTCTCACAGAGATTTTCTTTTTATCATGCATGTATTTGTACCCCAGACTTCTATGCCAACTGCATCACAGGCCCTTTCATCATTATGTGTCACAGGCATCTAAAACCAGTTTTCCTGATATCTGTTGCAAAATATTTGTCTAATTATATAAGAATGTGTTGCTGTTTTACCTTGTCTGCCTAAGGCACCTGATTGGTCTAATAAAAGCTGAATGGCCAATAGCAAGGAAGGTGGTGTAGGCAGAAATTCCTGGCAGGGAGAATAAGTACAAAGAGGAATTTAGGCTTGGAGGAGAAAGAAAGGGAAAAAGAAAAAGGACACCAGGAAGATGCCAAGGGCCAGACAGATGCTGAGGAAACAGGAAAGTAGGACATACAGAATGAAAGAAGGTAAAAAGCCTGGAGGCAAAACATAGATGAAGAGAAGCTGGTTAAATTAAGTTAAAAGAGCTAGTGGGGCAGCCTAAACTAAGGCCAAGCACTCAGAATTAATAAGTCTCTGTGTCTTTCTTTGGAAGCTGATTAGCGACCCAAAGAAAAATCCATCTACAGATGTTGAACTCCTCCTGGAAAACCTATAGTTCCTCATGAATTTCTTATTTGAGGAATCAGTACCAGACTGATATGTGTGGGAATGTAGGAAGTGAAGTTCACTGAATAATGGGCAGATAGGGGTTGAAATTTGGTTTACAAAGAGTTCACTTGTGCATCCCCCATTTGTGTCCATTGAAAGCGGAGTGTGTTTTGTTTTCTGATTATACTACTGTGCCATATGGGCTACAAGGGGCCCTATCTTCCTATGACCACTTTTTTCCTCCCCTCATCCACAGCTACATCATCCCAAAGGCTTCCCTAGTCCCTCCATCTCCTGGGTCCCCTCCCTTATGGTCAAAGAAAGCTGCTGAATCTGGATAAGAATGCAGAATTCTGAGTTCTATTTGAAATCCCATTAAAGAAGAACTCATTTTAAAGCAACTAAGCCCTGGCCATCCATTCTGTCCTCGTTTTCTAGCAGAAGTCTCTTTTTACTCTCTGTAACCAAATAATCATGCCATCATGCCACACTCACACTCCACTACTGGGGTCGAGCTATCTGTTGCTCCCTGAACGCATGCCACAGTTGTTAAAGACAGACATTTTTACTCAGAAAATGAGGCATTTGATGGAGGAGGGTCATCTGTCTATCTGTTGCTTTCATTGGTTAATTAATAAAGAAACTGCTTGGTCTGATAGGACAGAAAATTAGGTAGGCAGAGTAGACAGAACAGAATGCTGGGAAGAAGGCATTGAGGTCAGCCGCCATGGAGCCAGCCGGCAGGTCAGACATGATGAATCTTTCCTGATAAGCCACCACCTTGTGGTGCTGCACACATTATTAGAAATGGATTAATCAAGATGTCAGAATTAGCCAGTAAGAGGCTAGAGCTAATGGGCCAAGCAGTGTTTAAAATAATACCGTTTGTGGGGCTGGAGAGATGGCTCAGAGGTTAAGAGCATTGCCTGCTCTTCCAAAGGTCCTGAGTTCAATTCCCAGCAACCACATGGTGGCTCACAACCATCTGTAATGAGGTCTTGTGCCCTCTTCTGGCCTTTGGGCATACAGACAGAATATTGTATACATAATAAATAAATAAATAAATATTTAAAAAAAATAATAATACAGTTTGTGTGTTGCTATTTCCGGGCCTAAGCTAACCATGAGGGAGCCGGGTGGGATGAAAAGCAGGCCTGCCCGCAGCTCCTCCCTATAGGCATTGAGCTATCTGGCTGCTGATTTGAGAGGCTCACAGGCTGGACTCCTTCATCACTCCCAGAAATGTGTGCCTTTCACATACAGATTCGGGGAAGGAGCCTCCCAGATACTTAGTGTGAGATCAGACCATCACCCTGCATTGGAAGGACACCAGCCATCTCTTGAGTTCTCTGTCCTTTTCCAAGTCCACTGGGAAGCTGGCCCATACAGATCACTAAAAAGTGCACCACCCATGTCTGGCACATTCCTCAGTCAGGGTGGAGGTGTTCCTGTGTTCAGATAATACTGTCTTGATTGTCCTTAGAGCTGCTGCATGACCTTGAGAGTAAAACTAAATACTTTGCCATGTCAAATTCTGAAACAATGCCATAACCGACCTAACTTTTGGGAGCCAAATGTTCAAGATCAAAAGGAAACAGTCCTACCAAACTAATCTCTCACACCATAAATTTGGAAAGCACTGTGGGATGCTACTGAATACCCATAAATCTTTTATGGATTTTTGAAGTTTAGTATTGCTATAGTTTGGATATGGCTTGGTCCCTGTGGTTATTGACCATATTGTGGTGATAGATTTAGAAGATTGTCTATGTCTCTGAGGGTGTTTCCAGAGACATTTAATGGAGAAGAAAAACCCACCCTGCATGTGAGCAGTATCATCCCATGGGCTGGGGTCACAGATGAAATAAAAATGAGAATTCCAGCTGAACAACCTCCTCTCTCTCTCTCTCTCTCTCTCTCTCTCTCTCTCTCCTTTCACAGTTGTAGATACAGTATGGCCAGCTGCTTGCTTCATATTATTGTTGTCATACTTTTCCTGACATGATAGACTGTATCACTTCAAACTGTAAGTCAAAATAAACCTTAAGTTGCTTCTCATCTGATACGACAATGAGAAATGAAACTAATATAGTCCCCAACACAAAGACGTGGAAAATTGATTAGAGGTTTGCATCACTATCACCCAGAGGCAGGCAAATATCTGAATTCCAGGACAGCCAGGGCTACACAGAGAAACCCTGTCAATAGAAGAAAGCAAGCAAGCAAACTTGATAGGATTTTGACAGTGCCTGGCATAACAAAAGGTGAAAGGTGATCAAGTGTCCGTGTAAAAAGTAATGCTGTTCTGGTCTCAAGGGGTCTTTCAGGAGGGGATTAATCCTTTAGGAGGGGGGCATCAGGGAAGGAAGTGGGTCCCTGGGAGCAGGCCTCCTAGCTTTATACCCTGTTCACATTTGTACTGTGGATACAGTGTGATCAGCCATCCTCCTGCTTTTACCTCAGTGCCTTCCCTGCCTGCTGCTGTGTCTTCTCCACTATGGCTGACTGTAGCCCTCTGGCTCTGTGAGTCAAAATAAACCTTTTCCCTTAAGTTGCAAGAAGGCAGTGCCTTACCAGATACCAAATCCGCCAGCATCTTAGACTTGGACTTCTGGGCCTCCAGAACTATAATTAAGAATTCCTTTTGTTTATAAACTACCGAGTCGCTAGCATTTTGTCATAGCGGTCTGAGGAGTCTGCCTGTTAGCAATGACTTTCAGGCATTCTTCGGAATAAATGTGAACTGTAATTGCTGTCAGTGCTAAATAAAACTTGCATATACTGGGTACAGAGTACCCACCACTTAAGAGACACATGCTTGAGGTATGCGGTCTGAGGTGGAAAGGATTATGATGTGTTTCACTAGCTCTCAAGTGGGCCAAAAACATGAGAGAGAGAGCGAGATCTGGGATAAACGCTGTCAATGGTAGAATCTAGATGAAAGATATGATGATGTCTACTTTATGATTTGTGCAACTTCTCTGTACATTTTCCAAGTTTTCACAGTTGAGAGTTAAAGCAAATCATAATGACTCCTCATTAGAGTCAAATTAATGGTTTAGGACAGAGACAATGTCAAAAACAAAGAGTAGGAAAAAACCAGCAATGGCAGAGGCTGGCTGGAGGTCAGTCAGTGCATGCTTGGGGGTTCGTTTCTGCTCAGGGATGTCTTGGAAGGATGAAAGCACCTGTGGATAGAGGTACAGCATTAAAGAGTGTGTTCCCTTACAAATCAACAGCTCTCAACCAACACATGCTCCATGAATGCATGTGAGGACCTCTGCCAGAGGACCCTTGGAGCAGAAGACACACCCACTCCAGGAGAGGCTCTGCCATCTCTGAGCTCCATATGAAGCCCCCCAAAAGACTGCTCTTCTGAACTCCAGAATTTATATTTTTTTGAGATTTCTTGAACCTACCAGAGAAGAAAACACTGTGTAGGAAGGGTGGCGGTGCCTGCCAGTTATCCAACTCCTGGACTTCTTTTATCTCATTCCTCAAGTTGTTGGCCTTCTCCTTCTCCCAGAAAGGCAAGCTGGAGGAAGAACACAATCCTGCTGAGTTTGAATGGATGCCGTGTTAACTTTACAAACACCACCAATGGGTAAGACACTGCACACCACAAAATGAAAGAGGCCTCCACCTCGGGGCTGTGGAGATAGCTCAGTGAGTAAAGTGTAGTAGGACTTTCCTTTGGACCGTTAGCCCACAAATAATGACATGGAAACTTGCTGTTAATTATGAAAACTCAGCCTTAGCTTGGCCTTGTCCCATTTAGCTCTTATAACCTAAAACTAACCTGCTTTTATTAGCCTATGTTTTACCATGTGGCTTTCTACCTTCTTTTCATTCTGTATGTCTGACTCCCTCCATGTCTCATTGGCATTTCCTCATGCCTTGATTATCTCCTCCTACTTTCTCTCTCTGCCCAGAAGTCCCACCTATACCTCCTCCCTAGCTACTGGCCATTCAGCTCTTTATTAAACCAGTCAACAGCAATATATCTTCACACAGTGCATAAATATCCCACAACATTTCCCCCTTTTGTCTAAATAAAAAGGAAAGGTTTTAACTCTAACCCAGTAAAACTGTATACAATAAGAACAATTATCAAGTAAGAATTATATTCACAATGTCTAGCTCATATATATTTGGCAAATTCAGAGAAAATACTCTATTATCTATCCTATCTTAGTGAGTCCAAAGTTTTATACCTAAACCATTTTCTATCATAACTCGTATTGCCATCCTAAAAATATCTTTTTAGACTTAAAAACATCTTCTTAGATAAATAGCTTAAGCTTCTATGTTGCTCAACCTTATAAACTTTATATCTCTTATGTAAGTTTTTTCTGAATTTGTCAACAAAGAAAACTGTATACCATCTAGTCTTCAATCCCCATCAGAGACCCAAGAAGAATATATTACCTGAGTAAATAGGAAGTGCAAAGTAAGCAAATTCTAAAACTATATAAATGACAGACATCTGGCTGCCTAGACTGTCACCCAAGGTTCCTCTGTAATGTTGGGGTGTCCATATTGAGCCTACAGGCCTAAAATATCTGACAGACTTTCTTATGAGGCAGGAATTTTGAAGGACTGTCCTACTCTGTCCTGGAAAAGTTTGGCAGTTACCTTCTTTTGTGTCCTGCTCGTCCAATTTGGACAGCATATTGTCAGCAGTCAAGGAAAGGACAGTTTTTCACCCAAATGACTGGTTTTGCTACATTGAAGGCAAACTCCATATGGAGGTTCTTTGATGCCTGTCATCCTTTTTTGAAGTAAATTGGTGCTGCCGAGAGTATATGTGTCTCACTGTCATGAAAAACCTTATGCTATTAAAACATCTTTAATGGCATATTCTATAGGTCTCTTAAGTGTTTGAAACCCATCTTCATATCTAAAGTATATCTCTGTTTGACTCTGAAAACATACCTAACATGGCCTCAAATTTGATTGTTAGATGACTAGCTACTAACCTGTATTTCTCTAACTATCCTAAATAGTTTGTAATAATAACTTTCAAGGACTAGAAATTTACTTTATATTTTTAAATGAGCTGCATAGGCACAATGCCTTAAACAAGAGTAGAAACATATATACAGCATAACAAAAAGCCTTAAATTTGTATTAATATACAAAAATCCATAATGCTGAGCAGTGGTGGCACATGCCTTTAATCCCAGCACTTGGGAGGCAGAGGCAGGTGTATCTCTGTGAGTAGGCTAGCCTGGTCTATAGAGCAAGTTCCAGGACAGGCTCCAAAGCTACAGGGAAACCTGTCTTGAAAAACAACAAAAAAAAAATATCCACACCAATGTAATATATTTGAGATTAGTGGTTATTCAAAAGCAGACTCAACAATCCACCCTTTTATCCCATCATTTCTGTACTATATCCCCCTTTTTCCTTTCAGAAAGAGATCCTTAATCTAATCTTTATTCAGCTTTTCATCTGACTATGACCAACAGCAATTTGTAACTAATCCCCCTAAACAATAAACAACCATAATCCATCGAACGACTAAAACTATCCACCCCACTTCTTGGGAATGTGGGTATTGTATCCTCTGTTCTGCTTCCTGTTATCTGGGGGCAACAGCATCTTTAGGGAACCCTAAAAAATGGGATAATGGTCAAGTCCTGGGAGAGCTAGCTTGTCTAGTCTTGCTGTAATGGAAAAGTGCAAGGTTTATCTGAAGTTCTGGCTGGATAGTCTGTGAGGCTGAACCATCTCAGCTAGCAGCTTTGAAGTTGTTCTGATGCAGAATTTTGAGGAAACTGCAACAAAGAAGGCATTCTGAGAAGCTGGATCACCTGGGATACTTGTCTTTATTGGTGTCTAGTTCTTTTTTTTTCTGAAAACCCATAAACTTTTAAAGGTGACATACGTGTGTGTGTGTGTGTGTGTGTGTGTGTGTGTGTGTGTGTGTTAACAAACATGGAATGTGCAGTGTATACGAGTCAGCTACAGATGATTTTTTGTTTCATGTTTGAGCTGTCAACTTTATAAGTTTGTTTGGACTGTATAACCAAACCTCTATCCATGCCATATAAAAGAATTTCATGTAATAATAAGTCATGAGGACTCTGTAGCCAACAGGATTTATCATGTCTCATCCAGTCTCGCAGCTGTTCCCATGTAGAGGGATCAGCATATGCATTACCTGTCCTATAGTCTTTCTTGGTTTCCTTTTTTATATCTGTAGCCAAGATTTTCAGGAGGTCTCTCCCAATCAAACTGGATTTTAATTGATTTTGAAGAGAACCATAGCTTTTTGTTTCCTATGGAAACAAAAGCATAACCTGTCCCCCAATGCAACGTATTTTCTGACTTCCATTGTGAAGTTAAGATATTCTTAAAATATATAGGTTTAATTATCAATTTCTATAATCCAGTGTCTCTCAGCAGCTATTGTTTTTTTGTACATTAGCATTTAAAAATTCAAAGTCTAGCCAGTTTGGATGTTCACCTTCCTAGAAATGCACGGAGGGGGGAGGACCTAGGACTTACCACAGGGCAGGGAAATCTGACTGTTCTTTGGGCTGGAGAGGGAGGGGGAGAGGAGTGGGGGGAGGGGGAGAAGAGTGGGAGGAGGGGGAGGGAAATGGGAGGCTGGGAGGAGGAGGAAATTTGTTTTTTTTTTCTCTTTTCTCAATAAAAAAAAAGTTAAAAAAAATTCAAAGTCAACGAAGCACCATACAGGACCCAGACACCCTGTGTATTTCCCAACTTTGTGTGGCTTATTTTTTTTTATTGCTTTACTCTCTCTTTAACGACTTTGTGTATTTTTTCTATGACTGTCTGTACCCATTTTTTACTGTATCTGTTTAAAGGTTTTCTCATTCTGGGTTGCTTTAGTGCACACCTACAGTGTTCTCTGACCACAAGATGAATGTGACTCTGACAGCTGTCTCTGCCTGTCTCAGTTCCCTGAGAGCCCACCTCATGTTGGCATGTTTACCACCCCAGCTTTGGGAAGCTGATGTGTCTAAACCCTGTCTTAGAAAACCAAAAAAAAAAAAAAAAAAGTACTAGTGCCAGCTGGAGGGGTAGCTCAGTTGGAAGGTTGCTTTTGAAGCAAGCAGGAAGCTGTGGCTTAATTCCCAGCACCACATAAAACAGGCATGATGATGCCTAGGTTTTCTTTGACTGTGTCATGAGTTTGAGGTCAACCTGATCTACATGAGACCCTGTCAAAGAAGTAAAAAATCAAAGAAGTAAAAAAAAAATAGTCTCTAGATAAGATTTTTCAACTACTGTGCTCTGAGGGAGTGGGAGCTGAATCTAAGAAACACTGAGTAGATCCAGCTCCTGAAACTGGAGACCTTTAGCCTCCTGACACGATCAGTTGGGCAGATGACTTCCAGGTCAAATTGCCATGAAGAAAGCCCAAGTCTCTTGATTCATAGATTGGCCCCAGTACAAAAGAGCACCCTAGTCTGTAGTGCTTTTTCTTTGAAAAATACAATCCTAGCACTCAGGAAGCAGAGGCAAGCAGATCTCTGTGAGTTCGAGGCCACCTTGGTCTACAGGGCAAATTCTGGGACAGTCAAAGCTACGTAGGGAAACCTTGTCTTGAAAAACCAAAAAATTAATATAATATAATATAATATAATATAATATGTTCGAAAAACCATCCTGCTTGGTATTTTATGATTTATACATACAAATATATTTACAAAAACTCAAACAGTTGGGTGGAATGCAAAGATTAGATGGTTGGTGGTATTTTAAGTATTCTAGAATAGTGTTTATAAAAAATAAAGTACAGACATGAGAAGCCTAATTATATGTTACAGGGAATAATGAAGCATAATGAAGGCATGAGAGGTGCCAAGTAAAATAAAAGGCTTTTATTCCCCGAGCTCTGAGGTTTGGTACTCCCACTGCATCCCGGTGTGTGAGACTCGGGAACACGCACCCACCTCACCATACTTACAGGAGTACAAAATAGAGAGGAGAGGTAAATAAATGCATGAGCTTCAGATGGCCAGAGCAAAAGTGTGAAATCAGGGGGCTGGAAAGATGGCTCCGTAACAGTTAAAAGCACTGGCTGCTCTTGCAGAAGACCCTGGTTTGACTCCCAGCATCCACATGGTGGCTTGAAACCATTTGTAAATTCAGTTCCAGGGAATCCAAAACCCTCTTCTGGTGTCTCTGGGTATTGGTCATACACATGGTATACAGATATACATGCAGGCAAAGTACCCACACGCGTGGTTTTTTTATTTAAAACTATTTAATTCTATAAACATGGAATTAGGAGCACTGAGATGGCTCAGTTAGTAACGACTCCTGCTGCCAAGTATGCAAACCTGAGCTTAGTCCTCGAGACGCCCAGAGTAGGGGAGAACCAACTCCTAACACACAGCATGTGCGCCTCCATGCACACATCTTTTTTTTATTTTAGTATAAAAACAGGAATAGTCCTGTTCCAATACATGGTGTTCTGTTGGCTTTCCCTTTGGTTTTGAAGCTCCAACCAGTTCCCCAGCTGCAGGCATCAAACATGCGCTTGTTTTTCCCAGAACACTCTAATGTGATCCAGCTCTTGAGAACACGGTGTTATTAGTCTTTTTGCTCCGTGTAAATGCCCCTCCTGTGCATACCCAAGCACACCTTGGCGCCTGTCAGTTAGCTGGTGTCATATGTAGAATTTGTCCCCCTCCGTTGCCAGAGGCCACAGCCCCTTGACCACTGTGTGTCTTTCCAACTGCACCGACCCTGCTGCTGGAACACTTAAACGGCTCCCATGGTTTGACAGCCTGCAGGCTCCTCCGTGGGAGAAAAGGGTGTCATTTTCTCAGAGATCGGACCATAGAAAACTTGGTGAGAAAACTCACTTGGGGATTTGAGGAAGAGGCTCCAGTGGAATAAATGTATCAAATTTTTTCTCATAAGGAACCCTGGGGGGAAAAAACAGTAAAATAACCATGAGATTGCAATGACCTCTTGAAGCATGGAGAGCAACACATCATCCTTTCCAAGACCACCCCCACCTTCTGGTGTCAGCCCTCCAATGTGGGCTTCAGAACTGCACAGGGAATCGCGTTTAATTTTTTGTTGTGTTTCATCAAGACCACTGACTCTCACGTGACTGGTTTTCTAACCATTTTCAATATAACACGACAGCTGTTTTCCTCCTAGTTGAATGCCTCTCCTCTTTGATCGTATTTTCCTAAATTCGCCTCCACATTTAATACCAACCCATATACTCATCACTAGCAATCAGACTGGGTATGGAAGTGCCGAAGCCTTCAAGTATGTGGTAATAGAAATCAGACTAACAAACAACCCCTTCTTTGTCTATCAGCTTTTAAAAGTACAACATAATGGGATCCCTGACTTCTCTACATGTGTATCATTGGAGCTGGCTCATAGTCAACCCTCCATCGCCCTCTCATACTCCCTCCCCACTGTTCCGCTTCCTTCCCCCAAATTGTTTCCTCCCAGTGATGCATTATATATAACATATATGTATATATACATATGTGTATATATGCGTGTGTGTACATGCGCTTCTTGAAAGGATAGTGGGGGGTTTTTTGTTGTTGTATTGAGGTTGAAATTAAGGCCTTGCCTATGTCTGTTCCATAGAGGGGCTCTATCCCCAGCCCCTCTCATGTCTTTTATTATTTCAATTCCACGGTGTGTATAGGCACAAATTAACTAAATATGAACTTTCAAAGGAATTTGTCACTCCATCATATCTTATTGCTGTCCACCCCTTTAAAAAATAATTCCTATACAAGGACTAGGGAAATGGGTCAGTAGGTATGAAACTTGCTATGACAGCAATAGGACCTGAGTTTCAAGTCCCCAGAACCCACATAAAAGCCAGGCACAACTGTGTGTACCTGTAACCCCAGCACTAGGGGACAGAGACAGGCAAATCCCAGGAGCTCAGTGGCCAAAATGTCGAGCTTTGGGTTCAGCCAGAGAGATCCAGTAAAGGCATAAGGTGGAGAACAACAGAAGAAAATCCTCAGAGTCCTCCTCTGGCCTCCACATGCACACGCATGAGCGTGCACACTTGCACATACAGTGCTTATAACACACACACACACACACACACACACACAAGATACATAGCTAAAATAAATGATACATTAAGTATTTACATACAGCAGAAGAGACCCGATTCCTTTACAGCTAATAAAATTCCCCTGGAATGAGCACGCACTCACAGTGAAAAGTTGACTGGTGGCAGAGTTGCTCCCGCTTTGAAGAACTCCGTACTCTGCTCTGGGAACATGTATGGGTTATCCCCTGGTGTTAACCTTGGGATTCCATTTCTGGGATCAATATCTGTGGGAAGCGTTTAGAAACATGACACATAAGGCTGAAACCAATGCCCCGCTCACTGTGAGCAGCAATGCAATCACGTGACAATGAAGATCAAGCCTCTTCGTGCTTAGTGTGGGATGAAGCTCTGCTGCCCTGCCTCAAGTCCACAGTGACATTTTCCCTACACTATGCTGTCAGACACGATTATTTTAAAACCTGGAGGGTTGAAGAAGAGAGTAGAGAGAAGGTAAGAGCCAGAGGGAAGGGGAGTGTTGTGAAATACCCTCCCCTGTGTCTGGCAGGGCTGTTGCACACATGCACACACAGCATCTGTGCAAGATTTGCACAAGGTCAAGCCAATTAAATTTCACATAGATTGGGGGCAGCTTCTGAGGCCATAGAGCTGAGAATCTATTAGCAGTTGATAGCTGCACGGGGAGAGAGAGTCATCTTTATTGAAGACTATGTGCCCAGAAGATTCTCCCCATTCATGGATGACCTCACATAACCTTCAACTTCAGCCCCAGTTGAAGGTTAAAAAGAAATAACTAGAATTTTTTTTTTTTTTTTTTTTTTTTTTGGTTTTCAAGACAGAGTTTCTCTGTGTAGTCCTGGCTGTCCTGAACTTACTCATAGATCAGGCTGGCCTTGAACTCACAGAGATCCACCTGCTTCTGCCTCCCAAGTGCTGGGATTAAGGGCATGTGCCACCACCATCCAACCTAAATTTTTTTTAAAAAAAATATTTATTTATTTATTATGTATACAATGTTCTGTCTGTGTGTATGTCTGCAGGCCAGAAGAGGGCACCAGACCTCATTACAGATGGTTGTGAGCCACCATGTGGTTGCTGGGAATTGAACTCAGGACCTTTGGAAGAGCAGGCAATGCTCTTAACCACTGAGCCATCTCTCCAGCCCCCTCAACCTAAATTTTTAAAAAATAAATAAAAAATAAGGTTAGGAAGAAGATGTGATGGGGTGGTCCAAGAGGATGGGAGATGGGGAGTGAGGTGGGGGTATGATCAAGATAAACTTTGTGCATGTGTGAAATTTTCGTAATAAATAAAACTTTATAAACACAAACATGGAGGACTGGGAATATAGTTCACTTGGCTAGCATATATAAGACCCTAGGTTCAATTCCCAGCACACACAAAAAAAAAATGAAAAGAAATCTGGCACATGCCTTTAAGCCCAGCTCAGAGGCAGAGGCAGGCAAATCTCTGTGAGTTCAAGGCCAGCCTGGTCTACAGAGTGAGTTCTAGAACAGCCAGGGCTACACAGAGAAACCCTGTCTTAAAAAAAAGAAAGAAAAGAAAAGTGTTCTGTCGTTATAGATTATAAAACATACACAAGCTAGGGACTGGTAGCACATGCCTTTAATCTGAGTACTCGAGAGCAAGCTGATCTCTGAATTCAAGGCCAGCCTGGTTGGTCTACAGAGTGAGTTCTAGGACAGCCGGGGCTACACAGAGAAATCCTATCAAAAAAAAAAAAACCTATATATATTTCCTTGGTGGGTTTTTTGTTTGTTTGTTTGTTTGGACATGCAAGGTGTGTAACTTTTAATTTTTTATTATTTTATTCTTTTGTGTATATGAGTGTTTTGTCTACATGTCTGTCTGTGTACCATGTGTGTGCAATGCTTTCAGACGCCATAAGAGAGTGTCAGATGCTCTGGGACTATGGTTAGAGATGACTGTGATCCCAACTTCATGTACTAACTTTCTCTTTAAACACATACACACAATGGGATCTAATTTATGCTTCTAACTCCTAAGCCTGGGGCTGGCCCTGGAGTGTGGTTGGCATACCCACTGTCACTCCATTGAAGAAAACTGATTTTCCCTCTCCCGGCAGCTTCTTGGCTAAGGGCAGGGCTTGTGCCCACTCCCCTATTTCTGTATTGTCTGGCCTGAGTCTGTGTAGGCCGTGTGTGTGCTGTCTAGTCTGTAAGTTAATATTCCCTTCTGCCCTGTTATGTCAAGAAAATGCTGCCTTTCTGGAGCCATCCACCACCTCTGGCTCTTCATCTTCCTGCCCCTTTCCCCTGAGCCTCGAGAGGAGGAGTATGATGGAGGCGTCCCACCTAGGCCTGAGCACTGCACAGTCTCTCGCTCTGCGCTGTCCAGCTGTGGTCTGTGTGCTAATTCCTGTGTACTTCACGAATGTCTCTGATGAGGACTGAGCCACGGTGTGAGCTTAAGTTCTGGGCGAACTCTGAACTCATTGGGACAGGGTTTCATGTAGTCCAGGCTGCCCTTGAGCTCACTATGTAGCTAAGGATAGCCTCTAACACCTGATCCCCCTGAGGCCATCTCCCACCTGCTGAGATTACAGATGTGTGCTGTCACATCTCACGTGTGCAGGGGATGGAGCCAGGCTGTGCCATGCTAGGCAAGTACGCTACCAACTGAGCACCATTTTATTCTATGATTTATATTTTTAAAACTAAAAACAGAAAAGTGGTTATCGGTAGGTATTGAACTTGCTAAGCTTGTTAACTTTGTTACGTTCTGTTCATTTATTATGGTGGTCCTTGTGTGTAACACTCACTTCCATTCTAGATAACAAAGAGTGAAATATCTGAGCGAGGAGAAGGAAATTGTATACATTCTGTATCTCGATTAAATGTCATGCACTTCCCTTTCTATATGTATTGGGGTATGTAGTATATGTACATACATGTTTGTGTGTGTGCACACGTGCACATGGATGTGCAATGTGAATGTGTGATCTTACACGCCAAAGGTCAATGCTAGATGTTTTCCTCGATTGCTCTCTACCTTATTTTTTGACTCAGTCTCTCACTGAACTCATGTGGCTAAAGGCTGGCCAGTGAGCTCCAAGTATCGGCCTGTTTCAGCTTCCTCAGTTCCAGGGTTACGGGGACGACCACTGCTCCTGGCTCTTGAGTAGGTGCTGGGGATCTGAACTCACGTCCTTATGCTTGGACAATAGCCCATATTCCTAGCCTGCAGTTCCTCTGATTGTTTTTTAATTTTCATCTGTGTGAATGTTTTGCCAGCAGGTATGTCTGTGTACTACATGTGTGTCTGGTGGCCACAGAGACCAGAGAGGGCATCGAATCCCCCTAGAACTGGAATTACAGGCAGCTGTGAGCCACCTTATGGTCCTGGAAATAGAATCAGGTCCTCTGCGAGAGCAGCCAGGGCTCTTAACTACTGAGCTGTCTCTGCAGCCCTTCATCTCCTCTTGATGAATAGGGAGTTTAGGATCTGGGCAAGGCATGGGACTCTATAAGGATCCCACATCGGAGGCCATGCTTGCGGCTCTTTATCCAGATAAATCCAAGCCTCAATTTGAAAGTCCATTTGTCCTTTATATGAGTTTTACAAGAGAAGTTGTTAGTTATTTCTCTTTGCACAGCTTCTACAAAAACCTTATTCATCACTGAGGCGTTGGCTGCCTCCTCCTACACGGGTATTTCTATAAGAAAGTGCCATAAATGGCCCTCTGGTGCTCAGCAACCTCTTGGGATCTCTCGAGAAGTCTATTCTGAGTGAGTTGGGGCAGAGAACTCGCCAGGTTACAAACCAAGGTGACACATGGTTTTAGATATGGTATGTGTGCACCATTTCACCTTAGTTGCCTTTAATTAAATCAAAAATAACGCTGTATACTTCATGCCAAGGCTTACTTTAAATGTACATGACAGGTGGCATCTAACTGAAACGCCCCTGATTTTCTTCGGACTTCAATGAGGCTTCTACTCTAATGATGTGAAATGACTCACTTGGTGACTTAAATGTCACATTAGCATTTTCTGAGAGCTGGAGAAAGACATAAATGTGGATCGGCGTGCATTCCAAGCCCTTCATCAAAAGTTGTTGCCTGTGCACTGGACTCCCTGCCTTCCTGTCTTCCTGACTACTCTGTGGGCAACAGGGTGACCCTGCAGAGCTGTCCCCAGGCAGAGAAAGCAGAGCCCATGGAGCCACAACTAAGGGCTTCAGTTCGTGTGTTTCATCTTTGATGGAACGAGACACATTACCATACTTCTTCTTCCCGAGGCTCTTGTCCAGGGTCCTCTCGGCCTCAGACCTCCTGTTGCCCCGGAAGACCCCACTGAAGAAGCACTGCTTTCCAACGTGGTAGGTGTGGAGATTGCTGCTAAACCTCGGATAAAATGTCCACTCAGGACGCTGCCCATCTTCTGCAAGACATCAGAAACATTCCCGTTAGCCCTGCTCCCTGCCCACAAGACAATGAGATGACAAGATGTAAAAACTCCCGGGTTCTGTTTGTCCTCCAGCCTTCTCACACATGCACTGGCAAAAGCATGTGTAAGCGTGTTCATATGCAAACATGTATGTTTGCCACAGGCATGCAGTGGGCACAGAGGCCAGAGGGCCTGGGATCTTCCTGGAACTGGAGTTACAGGCGTTGTCGGCCACCATGTGAGTGTCAGGAACCAAATCCAGGTCCTCTGAAGAGCAGCCAGTGCTGTTAACCACTGAGCCATCTCTCTGGTCGTCATACTCTTTTGGCTGTTAGAGACAATGTCACTATGTAGTCCAGGCTGATTTGAACTCTTTTGTGGGATCTGTATGTGTCTGTGTGTGCACATGTATGTTCATGCAGGTAGACGTGTGTGGGTGTAGGTGGGTGTTTATGTGCAAGAGGTCAACACCAATGTCTTCCTCAGTTGCTTTTCGTATCTTTTTTTATATTTATTTTTGCTTTTATTTGTATGGGTGTTTTGCCTGTTTGTATGTCTGTGTACCACGTGCATGCCTGGTGCCCATGGAAGTCAGAGAAGGCCATTGATTCTCCTGGAACTGGAGTTAGAGATGTTGGCCACCATGTGGGTCCTGGGGATTGAACCTAGGTCCTCTGGAAGAGCAAGCCATAAACAATTTTAACAGCCAAGCCATCTCTGTAGCCTTTTCCATCTTACTTTTTGAAACAGGTCTCTCTCTGGATAGAACTTACTACCCATTTGACTAACTGGAACTTTCTTACCCTGGCCTTCCTGCTGGGATTACAGGCACAGGCTCTCACGCTCAGCTTTTTTACATGGGTGCTGCGATCTAAACTCACCTTGCCACCTTCTCAGCACCCTCAGCCCTCCAGCCCACCCCACCCCAATGAAGGAAGTGCATTACTGGGGGTTATGACTTTGTCCTGCTTCCTGTCTCCACCCCACTGCTTCCTATGTCTGGGTGAAATGTGACCTCCCTGCCTCCAGCTCCTTGCCTCTCCTATCATGCTCTTTCCCCACCATTCTGGAGTCTGTCCCCTGGAACTGTAAGCTAGGATAAATCTTTCTCCCTTAGTTGTTTTTGGTTATGGTATTTTATTGTAGCAACGAAACATAACTAATCCTGGGGCTGGAGAGATGGCTCAGTGGTTAATAGCACTAACTGCTCTTCCAGAGGACCCAGGTTCAGTTCTTGGCACCCACATGATGGCCTACAACCATCTGTAACCCCAGTTCCAGGGAATCTGATGCCCACTTCTGGATTCCATGGGTACCAGACAGAGACCAGGTACTCACACATCCATGCAAACAAACACTCACATACATAAAATAATAACTCTCTTAGGAAAAGAACTAAAACAGTCACATGACCTAAAGCATTGCTGCAGAAAGAGGTCTGTGATCTATGCAGCCATTGAGGGAAAATACATTGTGTACTACAACTCAGTTATTCTATGTCTGTCACTTGATGACTTTGTTCTTCTCTGAACACCACAGTGTGCTTGCACAGATCTACACAAAGAGGTCGGTGTCAGCTTGATGGAGTCCGGAGTCACCTAGGAGACACATCTCTGAGCACGTCTGTGGGAGTTTCGGGATTGAGTTAGCTGAGGTAGGAAGGCTGGGGTGTGGACTGAATTCTGGATTGAGTGAAAAGAGAAACAAGCTGAGCGCCAGCCATTGCCACCACCACCCTCTCCTTCCTGACTGGACACAGTGTGAGCAGCCACCTCTCACTCCTGCCGCTGCCACATGGGTTGCTGAGTCAAAATGAACCCTTTGTGAAGTTGCTTATTCACAGGTGTGAAAAGTAATTGGTGCAGTTGTTCACTCCATGTGGTTTCTTGACGCTATCAAGAGATGTCCTAAACACAGTGTGTGAGGCCGCAGTATAGCCAAGCATACTGTTGGGTGGTTAACTGTGTATTTCGTGCGCACGTGCACCATACACGTGGGTTGCATCACCGTGGCGCGGGCCCAGAGGACAAGCGACTTCCAGGAGTCAGTTCTTTCCTTCCACCATGTGCATCCTGGGGGTCAAAACTCAGACTTAGGCACAAGGGCCTTTGCCTGCTAAACTGCCTTGTCCAGCCCCCTTCACTTCTTGTAATAAGTAGAGAGAGTACGCTTTGTAGTGATGGTATAGTGTAGTACACTAATATCTAGAGCAGTGGGATAGTAACTTATCATTATCAGATATGATGCGCGTGCTATGCTTTTCTATAACTGGCCACCAGCGTCACCACAGCCACAGCGACGTGTGTGTTACGACATTAGCAAAGTTATGACATCACAGTCAGTGGGAGGCTTTCCCCTCGCCATGTTTCGGTGGAACCACTGTCATTTATGCAGGCCACTGTTGGTCAAAGCTGCATTATATAACATATGACTGCTTTTCTATGTGTGTGTGTACATACATACACAGGTGTACACATTTCAAAATTCAGCCTTTCACAGCTGTGGGGAAGAATATTGTTGGAGAATACTGAGTAAGAGGGTTTATGTCTATACACTTCTATGCTGTTTGATATCTTTTATGGCACTTGTACTGGGCCTTTCATTTATGAAAACCATATGGCCATACATATCTCCCACAAAGCCATCATGAGGACCCAAGAGGAAGCGTACCAAATGTCTGACACTGGGCAGGGGAGGTCTTCCGGGACTTGGCCCATAATAGGACAGATTTCTGAAAAGGCCCCAGGAGCAGAGGCCTTTGCAGGAAAACCCAGGGTCTACTCACTTGTCTGTGACTTAAGCAGGCTGAGTTCCTCAGGGTATTTTTCCTTCTGGAACCCAGGCAGTGAAACTTGAGAGGGGCGACTAGGCCATGCGGAGGAAGAGGAGGAGGAGGAAGAGGAAGACTTCTGACCCATCTCTGCCGCTGTGCTGGAAGGCAAGTGGCAGGCTTAGATTCACCTCCGTGCTCAAACTGGCAATCACACTGATCGTGAACTATCAGTACATGCGTTCTCAGCAACAGGACTAGCCTCGCTTTTTATAAAGTCCCTATAAAGTTTCTATAAAGGGTGTATTTTACTGACTCACAACTTGAAGGTACTAAAACGTACTCAAAAGATCCATGCTTTAAAACAATCAAGTTAGCTGGGCAGTAGTGGTGCATGCCTTCAATCTCAGAGGCAGGCGAATCTCTGTGAGTTCAAAGCCAGCCTGGTCTACAGAGTGAGTTCCAGAACAGTCAAAGCTACACAAAGAGAAACCATGTCTTGAGAAAAAAAAAAAAAGGTTAGCCAGGCAGTGGTGGTGCACGTCTTTAATCCCTGCACTGGCAGAAGCAGGTGCATCTCTGAGTTAAAGAGAGTGAGCTCCAGAACAACTAGGGATAAACAGAGAAACCCTGTCTTGAAAAAATAGATAGATAAATAGATAGATAGATAGATAGATAGATAGATAGATAGATAATAGATGGATAGATGATAGGTAGGTAGATAGGTAGGTAGGTAGATAGATGATAGATAGATAGATAGATAGATAGATAGATAGATAGATAGATAGATGATAGGTAGGTAGATAATAGATAGATAGATGATAGATAGATAGATAGATAGATAGATATAGATATAGATAGATGATAGATAGATGATAGATAGATAGATAGATGATAGATAGATAGATAGATAGATAGATAGATAGATAGATGATAGATGATAGATAGATAGATAGATAATAGGTATGTAGGTAGGTAGATGATAGATAGATAGATAGATAGATAGATAGATAGATAGATAATAGGTAGGTAGATAGATAGATGATAGATAGATAGATAGATAGATAGATAGATAATAGGTAGGTAGGTAGATAGATGATAGATAGATAGATAGATAGATAGATAGATAGATAGATAGATAGATGCTGAGCCTGAGGACCTAAGCTTGACCCCTGGCAACCCATGAGGCAGAAGGAGATAGCCAACTCTTGTTGGTTGTCCTCTAGCCTCCAGCCACACACTAAACTAATTAATTGTAGTTTTTATAAAACAGGCTGAAGAGATCACTATTTCGTTAGGAGCACTTGTTGTTTTTATAGAGAACCTGGATTTAATTCCCAGCACCCACATGGTAGCTCACAACCGCCTGTAACTCCAGTTCTAAGGAATGTGATGCCCTCTTCTGGCCTCCACAGGCACCAGGCATGCATATGGTGCATATACATACATAGATATTTAAACCAGTTTTAAGAAAAAACAGTCAAGGTACTAACTCCTCATACAGTACAACATGGAATTGCTCCACGATGCAGCAATTATACTCCTATGCGTATTCCCACAAGAACAGAAAACAGAAACTCAGGCAGACACTTGTCTACGGGTGTGCACTGCAGAATATGAGTAGCTCTAAGCATCCGTCAATAGTCGGTGAACAAATGAAGTTCGGCTTCAGCCTGCAAAAGAGTGGAGCTCTGCAACATGCTATCACATGGGTGAGCCTTAAAATAATTATTTGAAGTAAAAACTAGCCAGACAAAGAAGGACAAATCAATATGAGTCCACTAATACAAGGGCAGAGAGTGGCTGAAAAGTTTCTAGGAGCTAAGCCGGGCGGTGGTGGTGCACGCCTTTAATCCCAGCACTCGGGAGGCAGAGGCAGGTGAATCTCTGTGAGTTCGAGGCCAGCCTGGTCTACAAAGTGAGTTCCAGGACAGGTTCCAAAGCAACATAGAGAAACCCTGTCTCAAAAAAGAAAAACAAAAACAAAAAAACAAAGTTCCTAGGAGCTGAACAGGAAAGAATTCTGCTCAGTGGATACACAGTTTGTGTTTGATTGAAAACAGGCAGGGCTGGAGAGATGACTCAGCAGTTGAGAGCACTGGCAACTCTTCCAGAGGATCTGGGTTCAATTCCCAGCAACCAACAGGCAGCTCACAAGTGTTTGTACCCCTGTTCCAGGAGATCTGACACCCTGACACAGACATGCAAACAGGCAAAAACACCAATGTATATAAAATAAAAATAAATTATTAAAAAAGCAGATAGTGGCAGTGGTTGTACGACTGTGAATGTAATTAGTGCCACTTCACGGTGCACTTAAAAAGGGACAGAATGCCTTTGCGTTAGATGGATTTTAAAAATTTAGTTTTTTGTGTATGAGTGTTTTATTTGCAATGTAAAGGTACCATGTATCCACAGTGCCCATGGTGGCCAGAAAAAGGTGTCAGATTCCTTGGGACTAGAGTTCCTGGTGATAGTGAGTCACCTTATGGGTTCTGGGAACCAAAGCCAGGTGAGCCATCTCTCCAGCCCTCTGTGCTGGAACTCTTGGGTCTTAGCCAGTGAGAGACTTCTGGCTCCATTCTCTTCATGACCACTTATGTCCTCTTACTTTTACCTGTCTTCCCGTGTTACCTGAAGGAGGCACGGGAGGTGGACCCCTGGAGGTCTCTGGTCTCTATAAGAGGCACGCATGCTTCTTTGGCACTCTGATTTTTTTTTCTTTTATCATTTTTAAAATGAAGGACCCCGGTCGGACCCAGGGCCTTGGCAGTCTGGCAAGTAAGTGTTCTATGCTGAGCTACATTCTCAGCCTTAAGAAGTTTGTTGTCAGCCGGGCGGTGGTGGCGCACGCCTTTAATCCCAGCACTTGGGAGGCAGAGGCAGGCAGATCATTGTGAGTTCGAGACCAGCCTGGTCTACAAGAGCTAGTTCCAGGAGAGGCTCCAAAACCACAGAAAAACCCTGTCTCGAAAAACCAAAAAAAAAAAAAAAAAAAAAAAAAAAAAAAAAAAAAAGAAGTTTGTTGTCTTGTTTAAGATTTATTTATTTATTTTCTGTATATGAGTGCTCCATGTGCCTTTATGGCAGAAGAAACCATCAGATCCCAATACAGATGGTTGTGAGCCACCATGTGGGTGCTGGGAATTGAACCCAGGTCCTCTGGAAGGGTAGTCAGTGCTTTTAACCACTGAACCCTCTCTCCAACCACATCACCGTCATCATCACCATCATCATTATTAGTGTGAGTAGGTGTGTTTGTGTGTGTGTGTGTGTGTGAGTGTGTAGTGTGTGAATAAGGGAGTGTGTGCCAAAGCACATGTATGGACATCAGAGGACAACTTTGGAAGAGCAGCCGGTGTTCTTAACCACTGAGCCATCTCTCCAGCCCGGGTAATCATACTCTTGACAGTATCTCTTAGGATGCTCGTTCTTTATTTTCTTTCATTCTTTTGATAGTGTATGTGTGTGTGCGCGTGTGTATAACTCTCTCAAGTTATCTTTTGATCTCCACCTGTTCATAATGGCATGCATGCACACACATGGGGGTAAATAAATAATAAATAAATGTTAAAAACAAAAAAATACAATTTGGCCGAACTCACACAGATCATCATTGGAGGAGTTGGAATTTGAACCTAGGTAGCCTAGTTCTAAAGTTGTTGTCTAGCAGGACACACACACACACTTACTCAGAGTGAATCAACCCTCCAGGGGGTCCTGGAGGCTCAGTGTCTCTCCAACCTACTTCATCAGAAGATGAAAGACTGGTCCTTCCATCAGAGGCTGTCCTACTGGCCAAGGAACCCCTGGACTCTAGAACATCACTGTGCTTGGCACCTGCAACACAGATGTCACCATTTAAGTATATTGCTGAAATATCTGACAGCCTATTTTATTTCCTACATTATATTTTTAAAATGGGGGAAGGGGTCTGGTGAGATGGCTTGGTGGGGAAAGGGGCTTGCTGCCAAGCCTGCCAACCTGAGTTCAATCCCCAGATCTCAGAGGTGGCAAGAGAGCCACCTCTCCAGCCCAGGTAATCATACTCTTGACAGTATCTCTTAGGATGCCCCATCTTTATTTTCTTTCATTCTGAGGGTTTTCCTCTACCCTCCACATGGGCACCATGGCAAAGCACACCTATATTCACACCCAATAAGTCAAATTTGAAAGCAGCTAGGATTTAGTATTTACTGTGTCCTGAGAGTCGTGTTAACCCCCGCCACACACATTATCCCATCTAGCTCTTGTAAGTGATCTTAAGTGCATGCATGCATGTGCACACACACACACACACACTCACACACATACACATGCATGCACACATGCACGCCTGGTGAGGAAGTAGGTTCAGAAGGCTATGCCCTCACCTACATTCAGGGAAAAACTAAACATCCAGGCCCAAGTTTGTTGACAATATTGTGGTGCCAGAGTCTGAATCGCAACCACTAATCTGGATTGCTTATGCCTCCCCAGGGCTCACCTGGTCCAAACTGCGTGCAGAGAGATCTGAAGCAGCTAGGTGTCGCTATTCACTGTACAGACACCATACAGTATGGCACAATTCTCCAGAGAATTCTCCATCCCGTGACAGGATGAATGAGTGCAGCTGGTGACCATGGCCTCAAGAAGCGCCTTCAGAAACTTCCATACCTCCCATTATTGAGCCACTCATTCACAAACATAACTTTGCCACCAATGGTATCTAAAATAGCACCTGGCATGACTCAGATCCCAAGCAGCGCTTGAATAAATGAATGCAAAGAATTATATGTAGCTCATTTGGTAGCATGCTTGCGTGGTGTACAGGAAGTCCTGGGTTCCATTTCTAGCACTGAAGAAAGCAGGCATGGTGGCCCATGCCTGTGATACCAGCACTTGGGAGGTAGAGGCCAGGAAAATCAGAAGTTCAAGGTTACCCTCAGCTACATAAAGAGTTCAAGGAGGAGAAAAGGGGAAAAGAAGAAAATAATTCTAACCCTCCCAGCCACTGGTAATGACAAAAGAGTCCTTTAAGTCTGTGGCTATCATATGGAGAGATGAATCATTCTTTTTAGTTTGCTGTTTGATTTATATCTTATGAAAGTCAGTCTGTTCTTTATCATCTTACATTATCATGTGCCCTGTTAAATTATTTTCTTAAGATTTATTATTGTTGTTGTTGTTAATTATGTGTAAGTGTGTATGGCTGCATGGCTACATGTCTGTGTGTGTACCACATGTGTGCATGTGTTCCTGGAGGCCAAAAGAGGGCATCAGATCCCATGGAACTGGAGTTACAGATTGCTGTGAGCCATCTGATGTGGATGCTGGGAACTGAATTCTTCTGCAAGAGCAGCAAGTTCTCTTACTGGCTGAGCCTCCTCTCCTCTCCACTCCTCCAGTTACTTATTTTAAAGGCCAGATGAATAGACACTGTATTTCTTTGTGCATAACTTCACAGAGCACAGAAGCTCAATAAACACAATGAAATCATTTGTGATAAGAAATTTATACAGGCGTGGTGGTACACGCCTTTAATCCCAGCACTCAGGAGTCAGAGGCGGGGTGATTTTGACACCAGTCTGGTCTACAGAGTGAGTTCTGGGACAGCCAAGGCTACACAGAGAAATCCTGTCTTGAAAAATCAAGAAAAAAGAAAAGGAAGGAAGAAAGGAAGGAGAGAAGGAAGGAGGGAAGAAAGAAGAAAGGAAGGAAGGAAAGAAGGAAGGAAGGAAGGAAGGAAGGAAGGAAGAGAGAGAGAGAACTGAAGAGGAAGAGGAGGAGATGGTGGTAAGGGAGGGAAAGGGAAGGAGGAAAGTGAAAGGAGTAGACACACAGCACAGCCTTCTCGGGATTATGGTTTTGATTCCAAATTTCGAAGGTTAGCCAAACTACATCCTCTCTTCAAAATTCTCCATCCCATTTCCATGTTTTCTGGACTGAGGCCTGTGACAGCTATAGACTCCCAGAACTCTGGGAGCCAGAGCCCAGGGTGACCTTAGGTACAGTGAGGCCAGTGGTTGCCAGAGGTAGGAGCAGCTGTGATAAAGCCAAGGCCAGGGAAATGGACAAAAAAGGGACAGAGCTGTGAGGAGGGCAGGGCAGTCCCCAGCAACCAGAGAAGGAACCATCTTTATGCCAGGCCACAAAAGAGCCAAAAAAAATGACATATAGACTCCACTTCCAACGTAACATAATTAGAAATCAATAATAAAGACAGCCCCAAGCGAAAACCCCGCCGTAAGCTAGGGAGCTCAAACCACATTGCTGAATAATTCATCAAAAAAACATCATAATGGAAATCACATTGACGTTCAGTGAACTTAGGTGCTACACATTAAAGCCTGTGGGATCCAACTAAAACAGTAATTAGAAACTTGGGTTCTTAAATGCAAATACTGCATTTCCCCGAATATAGGGCCTCAAATGCCTCTCCTGGATGGATATTTCATGTGTATCTTAATAACTAAAGCTTGCCTGAAGGTCAGTGCAAAGCAGCCACACTAGTCAGGCACAGAGGCCGGGCGGTGGGGGTGCATGCCTTTAATCCTAGCAATAGAGAGGATATAAGGAAGAGATGAGACAGGACTTGCTTCAATTCAGTCTGAAGATGTCAAAGAGGTAAGAGCGCTCTAGTGGCTAGGCTGCTTTTGCTTTTCTGATCTTCAGGTTGAACCCCAATATTTGTCTCTGAGTTTTTACTAATCACGTTATACTGCCCTGCCCAGGCACGGGAAGAGTGCCTTCTGGACTAATGGCAGCAGTGCTCTGGGGAAGTCAATTACCCCACTCCCAGATCCCGCCACGGGTTGCTGCCTAGCTCAAAGGCTGTGGTGAGGAGTGACAAGCTCAGGATACTTTCTCTGCTCTAGATGTTCACCGTTCATCAGGAAACCTGCTCTAATGAATGCCAGGTAAGCTATGCTTCTCTAAATCACTGTAGGATGAGAAAGAATGACATCTTCTAAAAAAAAAAAAAAAAAACCAAAGTGGGGATTGGAGAAATAGCCAGGGGTTAAAAGCCCTTGCTGCTCTTGCAGAGGACCTGAGTTCATTTTCCAGCACCCTCTGTAGGAGCCTCACAACCACCTGTAACTCCAGCTCCCTCTTCTGGCCCCCATGGGTAGCTACATTCATGTGTACATATCCACACACGTAGACTTTTTTGTTTGGTTTGGTTTGGATTTTAAGACAGGCTTTTCTTTGTGTAGCCCTGGTTATCCTGGAACTTGCTCTGTAGACCAGGCTGGCCTTGAATCAGAGATCTCCATGCCTGTGCCTTCCAACTGCTGGGATTAAAGGTGTGAGCCACCACTGTCCAGCCAAGCCATATTAATTTTTAATGGACATTTTTTTTAAGACCAAAGGAAGGTTCTGGAACAACCTTCCAGAAAAGAAAGGAATTCATGGAGAAAGAGAGTCTGGAAGAAAGTCTGTCTTTGGTGCAATCTGTAAAACTCAAGATTTTCACATCTTTGGGCAGAAACAACATCTTCCATCAACGAAGTGTGTTCTCTCACACCTGTCATCTGGGCTAATGCAAACCCCCTCTGTCTAGCAAGGGGAAGGATAATTCAGCAAAATATGTGGGCTTAATATGGAGTGTTTTCGATAAGAAAAAAACTCAGTTCCCTACTTCCTGCTTTTTCTGCTCAACAAGCAGGCTAAGGATCTAGGGTGGGTACCTACAGCAGTAAGGAGAGTAATGGGCCCTTCCTGCTGATAAAAAGCACGTACCCACACATTGTACAAGGGGCTAGCTTGACCCTTTCATCCACAAGACCTGGACTCCCTGTTAAGATAAACCTTAGATGTGTGTCTCCTGAGAGGATGTGTTGAGAATAGACCATCCAGTTAAACAGTATGGGTCCTCCCTGGCTCACCCCTGAAGTGGCTTCCTCCTTATTCCAAATCAAACTGGAAAAAAAAAACCCACAAAAATATAACCTTTAAAAAACAATCGTTGTTTCTTGACCAAAGTGGAGATGCTTTGATCTGACACATGACGTCACTATGATATGTCATCAGAGGTCCAAAGCAACAGGACCACGGACAGAAACTAAAACCATGAGCCAAACCTGGAACTACAGAGGCTTGTAAGCCCACCCAGAACTCAACTGAATCTCCTGTCCACCTTGGTCATGCCCAAGTCACTGTTCTCTGGAACCTTCTCCAGCTCTCTAGTAGAGGCTGCTCTTGGAATGGGAGGAAGTTGGCAGCCGGGTTTGCCGTTTCCAGTAGTCATGGGCTCACCTGTGCACGCGGTGATTTTAAATGAAAGAAACCAGAGACAAACAAAGGGTCTTGTTAGAAAGGCTGTCTTTCAAAACCCAACATACCCCATAAGCCTTTGAAAGGTAGAGGCAGAGCTGGGGTCTCTGTGGTGTTCCTGGGTTTGAATGGCAACTCCCCTCGCCCCACCCAACCCCCAGCCGCCACTGCCTGCCCTCCCTCCCCACTCAGGGCTTCAGATACTCTCGTCCTACCCCATCCCAGAGTCTACTGAAACCACTGAGTACTACACCCACTTCCCTAGGTTGCGGGGGTGGGGGGAAGAGCCCTTGATCTACCCTTGGACGACTCCATGGCGTTTATGGCCCAGATGAAAGCACCAACTGGCAACGGAACTGCCGAATGCCAAGGATGCAAAGGGAAAGCAAGGGCGCCTACCACCGCCTGCAAGGCTCGGTCCAGGGTTGCCAGGACAACCTGCCACTTCCTGCCGGCTGGCGCGCTAGTCCTGATGTGCCTCTCTCCCAGAACCTGGTGCTCTGGCCTGGGTTGAAGATGGGGGTCTCAGGCGTGAAGAAGCTCAGGATTTTGTTTTAGCTTGTGGCTCTTGTCCAAGCAGCTGCCACTGCCACTCCTGTAACCTCCAGTGGCCGTGAACGGTGCCTCTCACAAAGCTTGCAGATGCAGGTTTAGAATTGGCTCTGATTAGGCAGAACTCACCCACCATTTAGGGAGCCTTTTTCTGGGCCAGGCTCCCTGTTGGGTGCTATCTTCCTTCAACAGCCAGCTGCGTTTTTCAAAATAGGAAACTGACTCTGAGCAAGGCTCATTCAAGGTCACACAGAAAACGGATTCACTCCCAAGTTTCACCCTTACGAGCTTATTACTCTTTCCATGGTATAGACTGAAATGTATTCCAACCCTTTCCCTAGTAAATCTTGCATGGAAAATTGTTGGGTTTTGTATTTTTTTTTCTCCAACTCAAGCTTAGTCTCTAAATTTATATCGATACTTAGTTTCTCCTATGGCTAAGTGGGAAAAAATACGAATGTTTTAATTAATATAAATACTGATATTTGTGTGTGTGTTGTATGCATGTGCATGCACATGTGTGTGTGTGTGTGAGGCACACTAGCCTAGGTACATGCATGCAGGGGCCAGAGGTCAATGTCGTGTGTCATCCTCCATTGCTCTCCACCTTAGTTTTTCTCTTTTTTTATACTTATTTATTTATTATGCATACAATATTCTGTCTGTGTGCATGTCTGCAGGCCAGAAGAGGGCACCAGACCCCATTACAAATGGTTGTGAGCCACCATGTGGTTGCTGGGAATTGAACTCAGGACCTTTGGAAGAGCAAGCAATGCTCTTAACCTCTGAGCCATCTCTCCAGCCCCTTTTTTTAAAATTTATTTATTTATTATATATAGTCTTCTGCCTACATGTGTGCCTAGAGGTCAGAAGAGGGCACCACATCTTGTTATAGACTGTTGTGAGCCATCATGTGGTTGCAGGGAATTGAACTCAGGACCTCTGGAAGAGCAGCCAGTGCTCTTAACCTCTGAGCCATCTCTCCAGCCCTCCACCTTATTTTTTGAAACAGGGCTTTTCATTGAGCTGGAGCTCACTCACTGTTACAGCTGGGCTGGCCGGGAGTCCCAGGTCTCTACCTATTTTTGCTCCACCTACTTATAAAGCCAGCATATGGCCCTTAGTGGTCACTGTGGATCTGCACTCAGGCCCTCACGCCTGAGCAGCAAGTACCTCACCCACTGAACCATCTCCACAGAGTGGTTCCATTTTTAATAATTGTAAATAATTATTGATTGTAAAAGAAATGAGACTGGAAATCTTGATGCTGAGCCAGCTGAAATTTGCATAGATGGGGGAGGTGCTCTCCAGACCATGCCCCTAATTGAGGAGCTATCCAGTAGTTCCTAGGGCCTGGGGTAATGAAAAAGACTGAAGGGCCACCTGTGTGGTCAATATGGTTGAACAGAGTCAGTTTCACAGGAGTGAGTTTTAATAAATATTAGCATTTAATAAAATGTTAGAACTCCTAGCAGGGTCCCCAACAAGGTCAAGGGCGTGAGACAGATTAGAAGCTCTCCCTGGGGCAGAAGCAAAGCATGGTTAGAGTCCAGTTAATCACAGCGGAAGGACTTTTCACGTTAATGGTAAGTCTCTATTGTAAGCATCCCTTTTGGGGGCCAGGGTAGCTTGATTCTTGTGGGGTTTTTTTTGTTTGGTTGGTTGGTTTTGTTTTGTTTTTTTGTTTGTTTGTTTGTTTGTTTTTGATTTTTCGAGACAGGATTTCTCCATAGCTTTTTTTAAAAAATATTTATTTATTTATTATGTATACAGCATTCCTTCCATGTATGTCTGCAGGCCAGAAGAGGACACCAGACCCCATTACAGATGGTTGTGAGCCACCATATGGTTGCTGGGAATTGAACTCAGGACCTTTGGAAGAACAGTCAGTGCTCTTAACCTCTGAGCCATCTCTCCAGCCCTCTCCGTAGCTTTTTGGTTCCTGTCCTGGAACTAGCTCTTGTAGACCAGGTTGATTCTTGTTTTAATGTGACAGGGTCTCACTATGTAGCCCCAGTTACCCTGGGACTCACAATGTAGACCAGACTGGCCTCAAACTCAGGCTTGCTTGCCCCATCTCTGTGTCCCGAGTGCTGAGCTGAAATCGTTTGTCTCCCCACTGACAGGTGTTGGATCTCTCCCAGGAGCCCAGACTGCTTGACAGGATTGCTATCCATCCACAGGCAGGCAGGCTGCCCTTCTGCTGGCAGCAGCCGCTACACAGCTACCCAGCAGCCACCGCAGTTGCTGCTGAAGCTCTCTGGCTCTTGGAGGTGCAGCCCCACCCATGATGGCTTCAAACAGCTTGCACAGAGCTCACTGTCAGCAAAAGCTCTGGGAAAAGCTAAATGATCTTGCCTCTCCCACCCAGACCAGAAGAGAAACACTTCGCCAGCAGCCCAGCAGAACACCTGTAGCCGGTGCAAGCATAGCCCTTGATGTGCGTGAGAGTTGGCTGTGATTGGTGCAAACATCCTCTTTCTGGCTGTGTAAGCTCGGTGAACAGCTCCCTTTGGGAACAGATAGGAACTCTTAGGGCTGCAAATGGTAAGCCCAATACAAAGGCTTCTCTCGGGTGATCTTTTCCTATGTGTGTGCATGTGTGTGTGTGTGCACTTGTGTGTGTTTGGGCACGCACACAAGCTCACACATGTATACATACATGTGGAGACGGTGGTCGATCACAAGTGCTTTCTTCAGTCACTCTCAACCTTATTTTCTCTTGTTTTTGCTTTTTCCAGACTGGGTTTCTCTGTAGCTTTGGAGCCTGTCCTAGAACTCACTCTGTAGACCAGGATGGCCTTGAACTCATGAGATCCGCCTGCCTCTGCCTCCTGAGTGTGTGCCACCACTGCCCATCTTTCCACTTTATTTTTTTGATAGAGGGTCTCCCACTGAATAGTTTACCTATTCAGCTAGATTAACTGGCCAGCAAACCCCAAGGATCCATTCATCTCTGCCTCCCTAGTGCTGGGATTACAGGCACCTTTCTCTGAGCTTTTTGAGGTGGGTTCTGAGGATCAGACTCAGGCTTGTGAGCTCCTCGCACACGGAGCCATCTCTCTAGGCCTTCTCGCCTCCTCCCTTAGCAGAATGAACTCATCTGGTGACTGAGAGAAGGAAGACTAGGATGGCGACGCAGGCAACAGTGGAGACAGCAGCAATAAATCAAGAAGGAAGGCTGGGGAGTTCCAGAGAGCTTCCAAGCCTTAAGAGTCACGTTTCTTGAGAGCTGGGGAGAGCTAAGAGTCCAACTTCCTAACACAATGCGCATGACACGAGTTGCAGCGTGAGTAAGGGTCCCAGAACCTGAGACCTGTACAAGGACCGCAACCCTAGGAGGTGCCATCTGCCGCTGCTCCCTGCCGTCTGCTACCCTCCTACCAGAAGCGGAGGGTTCCGAAAACTGCCGAGTGCTGACCCACTGATACTAAACTTAAGCCTCCAGCCTGAGAGCTGGGAGTCTCTGGCTTCTAAAGGACTCTAAACCTCTGGGCCTTGGGCACTCCACTCCGTCTGCCACGCCTAGAAGATACTGTCCCTAACATTCTGTGATTCCTACAGGGCTCCTGCCATCTGATAGGGGACAGAGAGAGGAACTGACTTAAGCCTGCGTCCTTGCCCTTCACTCTGTGGGGCCTAGCTTCCTCAGTCCAGTGACCTGAAGTTTGGTTCCAGGCAGGAAAGCAGGAGCTGCGGGCCACGTGTACAGCTGCAGACCCTGGACGGGGACAGCCGCTGCTGATCTTTTGTTTCGCGCACCTCCTGCAACCCCACAGTTGAGAGTAGCCAGGGCAGCATTAAGAATTAGGTGTCTGGGGATAAGAGAAAGCCGGTAGCCGGGGAGAAAGATATCAGATAAACCCTTTCTCTTCTCTCACGGGTCTTGGCAAACAGGAAGTGATGCTGTGAAAGGAAGCCTGAGTAGAGCGTTATCTGACGGCTGAGGAGTCTCATACATTGGTAAGAAACCCCTGTGTTTGCTCAGGCCCAAGAGCTGCAGGCTAAATTGGGGGTTCGAGGCACAGCTGCACTCCCCAAACCCGTACATTGAGGAAGCCTTTCTTCCTCAATGTCAGAAAAAGGTCACCCCTGGCAAATCATCTCTGTGCCCGTTTGTACCATCAGTGTCCATCAGAGGGCAGTGTAAACCCAGGCATGGGGAAGAAGCAGCCAGCTCGACTATCACAGCCTGAAGGCTGAGCTCTCGCGGAAGGGGGAGGGGACGCTGGCTGGGAGGGGTTTCTCAGTAGACGGGAGCTGAGAAATCAGAGATGAACGACCGCTGACACAGTCTGCTGAACCTTCAGGGGCAGGCTGTTACAGAAAGGGGGTGAGAGAGTATGGCTGCCCCCAGATCCAGCCTCCAGACATTATCTCCAGATTTACTGTCAACTCAGGTCAGGACACATAATCCCATACCTTATGCGTTCCAAGAACAGTGCTCAGAGCAGAGACCCAAAGGTGAGTAAAACACAGTCTTGGGAGCTGGTGTGATGGTTCAGGCAGTAAGGTGCGTACTCCCTACGCATAAGGACCCTAGTTCAATTCCCAGGACCCATGTAAAAGAGCCAGACCTTTATCTTCTCACTTCAGAGTCAGACAGGGATGGGGACACAGTGGGGTGGCCAGTCTAGTTAGTACCTGAACATTAGAACTCATCTTCCTTGCTCGTTTTTGCAGTGAGCCTGGGTCGTTGCTTCAGTCCCACACAGTCCCAGGCCTTCATGTGTGTGCTCTCTGCAATGAGGGGTCCACTCGTC